AAGCACGACTGACACCCGCTTCTTACGAAAACAGAATCTTGCCCGACTGGCCCGGGCAGCTCGTCCTTCATCCCATGCTCGATTGGACATGGATGCTAGCTAGCCCAGTTGCCGATATGCCTACGCTCTATGCATTGGAGGCCGAGGCTAGCCGCTTACAGCAGGCCGTCCCTGCCGCACGGGCAGCCCCGGATATGGGCCGACAGCAAACTGCCGGAGTCAGCGGACAACTTGTGACTTTTAGTCTCCGTGCTGCTACGTACAACATTCTCACTCTCCTTGATAAGCCTCCGGGTACCAAGGGTCGAGGTAGACTCGAGGGCATGAAGCTGCACGGGCGACGGCACCTGCTGATTCGCCAGCTGCTCGAAGCACAAATACTCTTCCTCGGCCTGCAGGAAACGCGCGTTCAGGAAGCAGCCACGCTCCCTGACAAGCAGTTTATCATGCTGCACTCCCCTGCCAACGCGGCCGGCCAGTTTGGATGCGCATTGTGGATCAGCCGATCCATTCCCTATGCTGTCTGCATCGGACAGCGCTATTACTTCGAGCTATCACATTGCACAGTTGCCGCCTATTCACCGCGGCACCTCCTTGTCCATATCACTGCCCCACACTTGAACATAGCTGTTCTGGTTGCCCACGCACCCGCAGACTCCCAGGACAGCAATGGGGTAGTTCGGGACTTTTGGAAGGAGCGTACTAAAGAGCTCCGCCGCATCCCCACAGGATCTCCTCTTTTAGTCCTCATGGACGCTAATGGGCGTCTAGGTAATCTCGAAAGTCAGGCTGTCGGGCCTCAAGGTGCAGAGCTAGAAAATCCAGCAGGCTCCGCCCTTCATGAGTTCCTACTAGCACATAGGCTATACCTGCCATCGACCTTCCCGGCGTTCCATAGTGGAGACTCTTGGACATGGCAATATGTGCCCGGCACCGAGCACCGCATCGACTATATCGCTGCTTCCGAACAGTGGCGTCAAGTCGCTCAAGATACCCATGTTTGGTACGACATTGAAACCCTGCAGAAGAAATGTGATCACCTACCAGTAGTCTGGAATTGCGAATTTGCCAGCACGGTAGGCCGGTCTTGCCCCACATTTCGGCGTTCGGCTTGTCGTCCCAACCATTTGGACCCAAATCTCGACTGTCGAGCTTTTCAGTGCGGTGTCGAGAACCTGGCAGCCGTTCCCTGGCAGGTCGATGTTGATGCACATTACTTGCACTTTGCACACGGCTGGATTAGCCACGGCCGCGCTGTGTTGCCTAAAAAGACTCAACGGCCACAGCAGACCTTCTTGACCCCGGGCACACTAAGGCAAGTTCGGGACCGCAAACTTCTGCGTCAGCGCCTGCGTGAGGCCGAGGCAGAGGTAACCCGGCGACATTGTGTTGTCGGCTTTGCAGCACTTACGCACCACCGTGCCGGCACAACGCTTACATTTGCAACGGTCGATCAGACCCACCGGTGGTTGCGGGACGCTGACCGCATCGTTGCGCAATGTTGGATTGCCCTCCGCCGTTCCTGTGTGCAGGTACGTCAGGCGGTCAAGCAGGACAGGTGTGCATACCTCAAAGGACTTGTCTCAGATGTTGCACAGGCCAGCTTCATGGATCCCAGACACCTTTTTGCCTGCGTACGCAAGGCATTCCCTAAGGCCGCCCCTACCAGGCGCACGAAGTTCACCCCACTCCCTGCAATCCGCCTACCAGATGGCACTCTTGCGGCTACCACACAGGAACGGTCCAGCCGTTGGCGTGCACATTTCGCGGCACAGGAGATCGGAGAGGAAGTCTCCCCCCAAACTTATATTCGACAGCTTGCTGATGTCGATCATAGCCGCACCGGTTTCTGCCAGCCCACCTTCGACTGGCGTCTCCTTCCCACTCTCGCAGAGTTGGAACGATCGATAGTCAGGTTACAAAAAGGCAAGGCCGCCGGGCCGGACGGCGTTACCTCCGAACTGCTTAAGTTGCATACAAAGGAAGCCGCCAGGAGACTCCTGCCACTTTACGCGAAGAGTATGCTCACACTTCGAGAACCCGTGGAATTTAAAGGAGGTTCTCTCGTCACCTTGGCCAAACGGGCCTCTACAGCTCTCGAGTGCGACAGGCACCGTAGTATCATGGTCTCCAATATACCCGGAAAACTTCTTCATCAGAGTGTCCGTCGACGGCTTGTGCCTCTCTTGAAACAGTGTGGCCATGACCTTCAGGGTGGAGTGCACGCTGGCATCGGCGT